GCACATATTGTGAGTGGGTCAGTTTTTTAATAAACTGCAGTTGCGAAATTTAGTTTAGTTTAGTTTTTTTGTCTTTAAGCAGAAAATGCTGTGTCTATTGCTCATTGCAGTATTAATTTCGCAACCTTATAATTCCATTGAATGCTGCCTTTGCATTGACCTTAGTTTGTTACTCATTAAGAAGAAATGCTGTCTCTATTGCTTATTTCAGTATTAATTTCTGTACCTAATGAGCCCGATATTACTATTAAATTCCAAGCAATGTGATAGCCATCGAATGTTGCATTTGCATTGACCTTCGACATATGTCTCAACTTACCCGCCCCCACCTCATTTTGGCCCTGAATGGAGCTTGGAGCTGGCACTTAACCTCCAAATAGCGGCAGCTGCACGGCAGCTTGGCCCCACCTTTGCCATCGTTTCGTATGACTGCCCTTGCTCTAGGAGCCCTCAATTGGCCCACATCTCACACTGTTCTCCCCCCACTTTCTTCAGCCCCCCTCCGCCACTTTCACCCCGCATTCAGTCCTTTTTCACCTATGCCTCTCGAGCCGCAGGCTGTGGTTCATTTGGCGTTTTGTGGCATACCTATTTGGGCAGGCCATAAAGTCATACACATATGGATACAGCTAAGGTTAAAACTCTACTACAACGCATATTAAGGTAAACTTATTTTTTATTCAACGCAACACAGAATTTTTTTAGTGTTGTTGAATAGTAAACTATTAATTAAACTATTAATACTCTAAAACCAGTACTTTTACAACACTTTGGGTTAAAAAGTTTTTTAAAAAATATAATATTTTTACAATAGCAAGATTTACAATGCTGTATTTAAAAATAAAGTAATAAAAAAACTGCTCGCATTAAAATATTATTTAATAAATTTTACATTTAAAGCCAATTAAAATATAAGTAATTTCAGTAGTTCGGTAATGTGGTACACGTGTTGTCAATTAAAAATATCTGTAGTAGTATTAGTGTATTAGTGTTTGTTGCGGTTTTTCTATTTTGCTATGACAAAGAACCTTTTTTTCTGGAAAAGTTACTAATGGTCGTAATTGTAAATGTAAATATTTCATTGTCATGTGCCACTAGCGTTTGAATCGCAACTGTATGCACAAACAAAAAGATAGATAGGTAAGAAATAGGACTGCAATTTCCAAATGAAATTGGGGTCTCGTTACCTTTTTGGCCCAATAAACTCTTGTAGCCATGTTCTCGTGCCTTCAACTCCACATTTCATTTAATATGTAGTATGGTATGAATGACTGAATAAACCATAAGACAGAGAATAATATGTTGCTGTCAGGAGGCTACTACTAAAAGTATTCTCCTTCGTTTGGGTGAGTTTACATTTGGTTTGCTAATTAAAAAGGCTGCAGGGATATGGGATCCTGGGATTCTAGGCCATGGAGGCAGGACGGCGGTGCATCTAAGGTATGCTCATATAATTTGTTTTTTTTTTTTTTTTTTTTTTTGAAACGTTGTCCTTGTTTCCGTACAATCATCTGAGGACACTAAACGCTTTTGCAAAACGCCCAAGCCTATCCTCTTATCACAGCATTTTTAACAGAGAGAAAAATAATCTTAGAAAGTACCCATAAAACCTTTTCAAAACTATAGATTCAGTGTAGCGACACATTAATAAAGTGATTTTTATTATATAATATAATATATTATTATTATTTATATATACATAGAGAATAAAAAAATTTTAATTTTAATTTTCTATATTTTATTATAGAAACATTTTATATGATGATATTAAACAAATTGCTTCTTTAATGGTCGTTCATAATTCCAATTTTTAACTATGCTATAATTTTGAGCTATTATTATTAATATTATTACTATTACTATTACTATTATTCGAGCTATATTTTGTTAAAGTTTTTTCCAAAATGCTATGGCTTGTAAAACTTTTCTAGATCCATAGTCTGAGTTCGCATATGTTATAAGGCAGTGGTACATTTCTTTCAGTGTACCCACCTACGACCCCCCCTTAAAATCCATTCACTGTGTCCGCAACTTTTTAATAAGCCCCACGCTAGAGTCTGGGCCAGGTTCCCACTTGACATGGTTGAGCTGGGGACTTGACGAAAGAGGCTAACTTTTTTCTCGTTGTTTTAAGCCACGACTGTGTGAGTACGGAAAAAAAAGAGAGGGAGGAGGAGAGGGGAGGAGGGTTTCCGCCAACGCCTCTCAATTCGCCAGAGGGGGGTTTTTTAAAGGGGGACCTTTAGCCCCCCAGACCGCGATAACTTTTACCACTGCAAATTAGCAGCAATTTCGAGCTGCAGTGGAAAATTAGAGGGCATTATGGTTATTAGCTATTATAGCCCGGCAGCGGTTAGATCAAACGCTTTATAAAGCGGATTAGGTTAGGGAATCCCCTTATTAAGAATAACGTAACCTTCTCCCCCCAAACACTTGAAACAATTTAGCAAATGTTAATTGAGCATACAGTCTTAAAGTATATTTTAGTCAAACGCTTGAAATTAAATTGAAATCTTACTTATGCAAATACTTACAGTTCTTATTGGATATTGTATGTTAGCAGATTTACCAAATTTGGTTTTAGTCTCAATCTTAAGACGTTTCCTTGTCTTGAATACAAGATTTCTATAGTTTGTATTGGCAATGCAAATTTTCCAATGTGATTGCGCTCGAGTGTCCTATAATTTGTTGCAATTAATCGTTGAACCCGAGCGATGAACTCTATGTGGAAGGAAATGCTGGGCTTGGCTTGCCAGTCTAGACTGCACCGAACACGCCCATCATGCCAACTTGGCATAATGGTCACGCCCAGGAAAGTCAGGCAACTTGTTGAGTCACTAAATTGGTTACTTCTCGGAAAATGTCTCTTTGTGATGCGACCCTTTAAAGTGCACTTTCTGCGGTATGTTCTGGCTGGAATTTTTGTTTTATGACTTAGTTTATGCATTTATGTTCTTGTCAACAACTTGACTATTTTCTTATTCAATTTACCCACTTGTTTACGTTTAGTTTGTTCTCGAGTTCTCATTATTTTATTTTCCGTCAAGGTTCCTCTCTTAGAAATGATTTACTTAATTAATTTATTTTGTTTAAGTTTTTCCTTCTCACTTTATATTTTGTCTCCTTTTAAATTATTTGGTTTCGGATTTAGTTTATTTATGTGCAACTTAAATAAAACATCAAATACAAATGTTGAATACAGATATTGACTGCTTTTCTGGCTTTTAAAAAGTGCGTTGAAGTGTGCCAAACGAATTTGGCTAAAGTTGCTGAATGAAAATAAATTCCGTATCCTCTTTTTTTCAGTTCTGGTTTTGGTCGCACATCTGCACTTCATTTACATTTACATGCCCGACAGGAGGGGGCATTTTTTTTGCTATACAAAAGTGGCGCTGGAATTAGTCCATTTGCAGTGCATAAAAGTTGAATAAGTTGTTTGGTGTCCAGTCTGAAAAAACCGCCATTAAAATAACTTTTTCTCCCATGTTTTTTATACCCTTGCAGAGGGTATAATTATAATTTCAGTCAGAAGTTTGCAACGCAGTGAAGGATACAATTTCGACTCTGTTAAGTATATATTCTTGATCAGCTTCACTAGGAGAGTCGATCTTGCCATGTCCGTCTGTCTGTCCGTTTGTCCGTCTGTCCATCCGTCCGTCCGTATTCAGTCTTTCAGTTTTAAAGCTATCTGCATAAAACTTTCCCAAAACGTTGTCTTTCTATTGCAGGCAGTATATAAGTCGGAACAACTATATCATATAGCTCTCATAGGAATAATCGGGTAAAAAATAAGAAGAAAAATTATAACTTTTCTGTTTTTAATTTTTTTTTTTTAAGGACTAAATAATTTTTGAACTAACTGCAAGGGTATATAAACTCCGGAATGCCAAAGCTAGCTTACTTTCATGTTTTCGTATACATCTCTAGATGGGGGTATATTTATTTCTTCCGGGGCGTTTATATATCTTATGTGTGGGACTACATAGAAAATATATACATACATTGGAGTGACACCTTCAACAACGCCAAGAACTTTAACATCAGTTTGGCGAATCGCGGCGGTCTGATAACTTTTCAAATTTAGCCGCTTGGAAAAAGTGTGTGGAGTGGCTTGAGGAGAAAGTACACAAGATGAGGGGGTCGCAAAATGCGGCTGGGACTGGGGATGAAGGGGTGCCGAAAAGTATGCTAAGTATTGTGGCGCCTCCCCCACCATTTTCCAGCCACCCACTTGCTTACTTTTGAGTTGCGCTTGAAAGAAGTTCTCGCTTTCAATTAAAGTTCAACAACTGAGAAAACTTGGGTATAGGCCTTAATCTTAATCACAGCGACCCTATTTAAAAGGTATGGATGCGATGCGATTGCTGAATGACTGTTTATACAAGGCAAACTGGATTTTTGTTAACTGAAACGTCGTGGGGATTTACATATTTTTTGCGGCGGCGGCGGCATATTTGCATTTAAATAAAGCAAACATAAAACTGATTCTTTTAAAGAGAGTTTTATATATATTTAAATATTTCCTTTTAGGGGACATTCATTATGTACTTGTAATATGGTCTTATTCTATAAATTTTGATTTGGATTTTACAAATCAAAATAACAAGATGAAGCGTAAACCTAATTTTGAGTTTATGATAAAAGTTTCTGTTTTTGCTTTTGTTTTAAAATTTCTTCACATTTGATTAAAGGAATTTAATTCAAAGATGCTTCCTATAAATGCCTACTGTTATAGGGTCAGGGATTATAAGCTTTTACAGAGCTGCAGGGTATGAGCAAACCTGAGATGACTTTATATTTAGTTCTTTTATATTGCATATCATTTTGTATTATTATTTTATTTTCGCCTGCCTGTCGCTTTCGCTGTCCCTCTCTAACCCACAATGACTGTTCTCTTCTTGCATGTTATTTGGTCTGCAACGACGACGGACCAAAAAAAAAAACGTGTTAAATGTGTTTTTATACAAAAAAAAAAAATTAATAAAAATCGAAAAAAAAAGAAATAAAAAGGATAAAGATAAGGATAAGGAGAGAAGAGTTTGTAGAGCCATGGATACCAAGTTGGAGGCACGTGGCCAGTTTCCGGCATCGTTTCCGGACACGTTCAAGAACTTCTTTGCGATGATGAACGAAGACGAGGATCATGTGGGGCTGTTTGCCAACCTGCTGGAGGATAAGGTAGCCCCCTTGCCCCTGAGACCCTGAGACCCTGCCTCCTTGGATGCGTTTCCGCCTGCTACGCGCATGTCCCCCTACAATGTGATAAAACAATATTATAATTATGTGTTTTTTTTTACTTCCCCCGGATTTTCCCAGGTGATTCCGCGACAAAACAGCCCCGTGCAGCCGCAACGTCAGCGGTACGGCGGTAGTATGCGGAGTCACAGCGGCGGAGATCGACGGGATCGGGATCGAGATCGAGATCGTGCCGAACGGCATTATCATCAGCAAAACCAGAGTCAGCAGCAGCAACAACAACAGCCGAGTTCCCAGCAGGTGAGATATAACACGGAAAATATACGTATAATAAGCACATACAAAAACATATATATTAGCATGTTTTATATTAACTTAATAACCCAGCTCACAAAATAATGTTGATATAAAATGTCCAATATTGATATGTCAATTTGATTTAATTTCATTTTTAAACTAATCATATTGTAAATACCAATTTATGTGTCATTTAAAATATTAGTTTAACTTTTTTAAATAATAAAATTACATTTTAAGGTCAATATAAAATTTTTGGAAGATCTGAGATTGACTTCAATGGACAATAACAAAGTGCCACAGGGAAAATGTAACTGCAATTTGGATTTTGGTATCTGAAATTCGAAATTCAAATTGCGGTTACACTTCAAATCCTTAAAAAGGTTTCACAGTATTCTTTGTATCATTTTTCGTATAAATAATATGCTTTATAAATATTAGTTGAAAGCACAGCCCAATAGGTATAGAAATTGTTTTTTAATTATACATTTTAAAAGTGCTTATTACATAATAGTTGAACTTATTTGATTTATGGCAATTTGTGCACACTTTCTTTTGGCGCAGCGTGCTTTTCATTCGCGCAACCGCAGCGGCAGTGGGAGCAGCGTTGATCTCTATGCCAGCCGGAATGTGAGTTTTTCCAGCACATCCACAAACCGGGTCAATTCGCTGCGAAGAAACCGATCGCGAGGATCCCTGACCCTGAGCAGCAATGGGCTAAATGCTTTGGGCTTGGGACCCGTAACCCTGGCGCCAAATGTGAGCTCCAGCAGCAGTGGCAGTGTGCTGGACTTGACCCTGCCGGGTGCCAATGTTGCTGGAGGATCAGGGGGTGCGAGTGGATCGGGTAGGGGAGGTGGGGCAGGTGGATCGGGTGGTGCGGGTGGCAGTACCAGTACCCAGAATAAGTACGCATCATCCACGAAATTGAACCTTAAGCCGGCTTTGAAACAACCAAAGCCACCGGCTGATCAATGCTGCGCCCTTTTTCTGGGCAACGATGGCGAATTGCTGTGCAATCACATCAAGTACTGCAGCCTGCACCACGATCCCTCCACCGATGGCCCCCAGCAGCAGCTGCTGCTGTTCAAGCATCAGCAATTATCAGCCAATCCAAATCCCGGCCAGAAACACGTCACCTTGCCCTGTTGCGAGTGCGTTTGCGGCCGTGGCAAAGCTCCACGATCCGGACCCGATGGCGAGGACAATTGTGGGGCGAACTACCCAAAGGGTTATGCCGTCGGCGGCTATATGCTACCGCCAACACCAAAGGTCAAGTTGGACAAGACGAGCACCATAACGTCCGTCGAATTGGCGGCCTCCAAGAACAAGGATTTGCAGGAGCGACAGGAGCGGCAGGAGAAGCGCGGATCGGTCATACTCGAAAGGGCCTTCGATTTCGGTGAGTTTTTACAAGAAATGTTAGTAGGTTATTAACCATAATAAGGGTGGTCAAAAAAAAAATATTAAGAATTGCACTCGATTTTACTTTAAAAATAGTTACATTTAAATCAGTTTTATTTATTCTTATACAATTTTTTTTTGGAAATTTCATACAAACATGTTAATCTAGTGTTTTAAAATGATTTTAAAAAGGCTGGTTTTGAAGCCTTGGCAAACTGAGCTTAAGTTCAGTACAGCGGGGTTAGCTTCATATTCAAATAAAGCACTCTAAATATTGCCCTATTTAAGTATCCGCAGAGTGCCTTCTTATCACTTTTGAAAAGCGATTAAAAAGCGACTAAGAAACATTTAAAAATCCTCACCACAGTCACATCGGGATAAGCAACATTTTGAAATAAAAGACCTCTAGATTTTTATAATATTTTTGATTAAGTATCCGCACTGTGCACCGTGGCCGCTTATCACTTGACAGTGTTGTAGGACACAATTAATAGCGCACGCAATGCGGAATTTTTCGCACCGGTTAAAGAAAATCTCGGTCATCTGGCCTATCGCTTCATCGCTCCATGGCTTCATGGCTCCATCGCTCCGGAAATGCATGCGCTGCCGGGGTTGGTTGGTTGGCGCTTGATTAGGGAATTAGTCAACCAGTAGCTGGGGGATGGAGCTGCCACAAAGTGTGTCGCAGGAAGTGCGTGCCATGGGCGGTGGCCCCAATTGCACAATGAGCTGACTGTTGGCATGCTGCACGGCCATCGCCATCGCCATCGCCATCGTCTGGCAGGTTAATTAAGACTCTAGCCTGGACTTGTATTCCGGGCACAAAGTGACACTTTACGGCGATAATGACATGGGGCACACTCTACGGTCTACGGTCTTCGGTCTACGGTCTACGGTCTTTGGTCTCCAGTGTCCGGTCTCCAGATTCCAGAGGCCAGACTCCGGATTCCAGACTCCGACTAACGAGGCCGCAAGTCACCTGTCGCTTTTCGTGGCTGCCACGTTGATGCAATTGCGTCCGTTTTGTGGCACCTGACAACAAGCCGAGGGACAGGTCCTGCGCAGCCATGTCCTTCATGTCCCGTTCGAAGCACTTAGCACCAGACACCCATTACACTGGCTTACAAAATTTGGTCTTAAAGCGACTTAAACTGTTCCTCTTTAACTCTTTAATAATCTGCAAATAACTTTACATTTTCTATGTAAGCTAGCTAAAATGTGTTCTAAAACTGCACTACTTAAAAGCACACCTCGAACATTTTAAATAGGACTTTAGGGTGGCCTTTAAATTGTTCTGTTTCCATACTCTTATATCTTCGTTAACTTGAAGACACTTTCGATTTACCGAACACAAGTGTTATTAAGCTGAACTGTTTGCTTTGATGCATGTCCAGTCAATTACTAAGAAAGTTAGTAAACGTTGTTCAAGTTGATCTTCTGTAGCCAGCTTTTAAACTTAATTCGGTTGGCAATCAGCTTAGAGCATTAGCTTTCGTTACTTAACTTTAAAAGGTGATTTAATTTAAGCCCAAAATTGTATTTAAAGGCTTTTTGAATTTACTTTGATTAATATACTTAAAAGAGTTTGCTGAGCAGTTGGAAGATCAAAAAAAGAACCATGGATATTGGATATTGGAAGAAACACCCTTCTATGGGTAAATGCGCTTTAATTTCCCTTTGAATAAAAAAAACGAACAAGTCAAGGCCTCACCAAAGAGTCAACAAAAAACAAAAAAACACAAGCCGGAAGGCAGCCCAAAACGAAAATTAAACATCAACTTAAAAAGTGGCAAATGAGGAGTATAAAGCGAAAAAGGTCCGACATTTACCCGCTGTTTGTCCTGAATCCGTTTTTTTTCTTTTCTTTTTTTTGTTGTTTTGTTGGGGGAGGCGGGTGACATTGACGGGTTACATGGATAATCGGGTATTTTATTATTTTTTTTTTTTTTGTTAAGGACGGGACCATCGCCAGGTGAAAGGATTCCAACTTAAAGATACTTTCTGCCTTTATCCACTTAATTGCATTTGGTAAACTGTTGAATGGAGCCGCTCGATAAAAGGACCGGCGACTCATTTCTATAATGGATGGGTCCTTCATGGTGATTAATTCGACTGAATGCGACTGGAAAATGTTTGAAATGAAAAGAGCCGCCACGAACATTATGATTAATCGGCGGGATCAACTGAATTGCTGGTTGGAAACGGAATCATGCCCTCAAATGAACAAAAACAAGAGACAAATGCCCCCAAATGGCAAACTCATAATTGAATGATTGAACTGCAAGTGATGGCTATGGTCTCCTAAAAGTCTCATTTTAATAGACTCGCAGCTACAATTGGCAAAAATTTAAATGCGTCAGCATAATAAAATTCTTAAGCTCTGCTCGGCGAAAAATGCGCCACACGCTAATTAAGAGAAAGCACCCAGAAAGTTTCCTAGACAAACTCGGTGCCATGAAATTTAATCATAAATATGTTGAAAACAATTTTTATGGCCACCCATCGGACAGGGCTGAACTTTCGGGGGTGGATATTCCTCAGAGAAAATTAAAAAATAATGAGAATGCAGATGGGTGAGGAAATTGTGAATTTTAAAACGAGTATTTTTTTTCGTTTTGCATTCACAGGAATTTATTTGCATTTGATTTGCCTTTTGTTAAATTTATTTATATTAAAATTCAGCTTTGATTTATTTGCGCTTTGTTTTCCACTCTATTAAATCGCAACTTTTGGGTGTCAGGATATGCCCGAATAGTTTACTGGGTATCTGTGGGGTCGAGTCTATTAACCTGTCATATGTGGCCATATTTTTAGCGATGCTCCGGATCTAACCGACAATTTTTATGGCGCCCACCGACGCACAAAGAGCTAAAGTTTATTAAATTTTTTTTTTCTTTTTGCTCAACAAAAGGAAACGGCAAAGAAAACTTAAGCTTGGCTATAAACATGTAAACAGTAAGCAAGCACACAAACACACACATTCGACGAGTCGTTGGGAAATGTCTTGGAAAAGTTTTCTTTTTGGGCTCGGGCAAACAATTTCATATTTGACTTCAACTTGGGGCACATAATTCCTGGGTAAGACACACACAAAGGAGAGCGATATATAGACATCAAGGTACAGGTGCCCCAGGTGTCCACAATTTTTCATATATATATATATATATATACGGTGGAAAAGCTGTGAAAATGTCTGGTAATCTCGCCACAACTGGCCACAATAGTTTGTCCCACATAGTTGAGATTTATTTTTCTGGTAACTGCCCGTTAGAAAACGCAATTAACAAACTGTCCGAGAAATTGACAAGTGCTGATGTTCTTTCACAAGTATTGTATTTTTTAAGACAACTTAGTTAGGAAATAGTTAAATAACAAATAATAATTGCATGCAGACAAACTCTGGTTATGTTTGCCAAATAGTTGTCAGTATAATGAACATGGATATTGGCTCTATTGTGATTTAAGTGTTTTTCTATGCACATTCAATTGTGCATTCCAAACTAATATACACAATCTATTCTTCGGTAATCTGAACCAGATTTCTGGCTTTATGACTTGGACAAACTGCTCTTGAACAAGCAGCATTATTAAAACTTTAAATTTCATATAATTTCATAGAAAACTAAGAAATTGGATCTTGTTATTTACCTATAAAATGCGATTTGTTTATGAAGTATGCAATGTACAAAGACCAGATTTATTTTAATGTTAAAAACTCGTCTTGCATGGAAATTTAATTATTAAGTGTGCTATTCAATACAGGATATTTCTATTGAGGTTGATTAGTTAATTACATTTAAGAATCAAAAATATTTTTGTTGAGGCGATTCCACTGATTGAAAAATGGTATATTTATTTATTTCAAATGATGATTTCTCTTTTATTGTAATGAGATGTATTCCTGTATTTTATTTTATCCTGATTGCTGCCCGTGGTTCCGGTACCGGTGCTCAGATACCAGCTGCGATGAGAGCGACAGCATTAGCAGCAGCACCCCGGGTCCAGTGCCCTCGCCAGCTCCCCACCAGCTGGCCTACAATGTCCTCAAGCCGATCCTCAAGCAGCCGCAGCTGCAGCAGAAGCAGAAGCAGAAGCCTATGTTGCAGCAGCCACATCAACATCAACTGGTTGCCCACCAGCAAATTCAGCAGGCGGCGGATCAGCATTATCAAGCAATTGCCCATCAGCAACACCAAGCTGTGATCCAGCAGCAGTACCAACAGGTTAGCTTACAGCAACACCAACAACAAGTGCTGATCCATCAGCCGCACCAGCAGCACCAGCAGGTGAGCCAAGAGCAACACCCACTAGTCAGCCATCAGCAGCAACAGTCACAGCCCCAGGTGATCCATCAGCAACCCATGTTGCAGGTGCCACTTCCGCCCACCACCCCGCAGGTGCACCACCGCTTGCTGCCCACTCCGCCCACCCACAGCGGCTTGGGGGCGTACCACACGCGCAAGACGGCCTTGCAAAGGGTGCAGCAGCAGAGCGGCTTCTACAACCAGGGCCCCAGCACCTCGGCATCGGCCTACGGCTATGGCCCGTCCATGGAACAGCAGCAACAGCAGCAACAGCAACAGCAGCAGCAACAGCAGCAGCAGCAACAGCAGAAACAGCAGCAACAGCAGCAGCAACAGCAGCAGCAGATGCAGCAACAGTACCAGTACGATCAGCATCAGGATCTGCAGTTCGAGCAGCATCAACCACTTCAGCAACATCAGCAACATCAGCCGCATCAGCAACACCATCAATTTCAGCCGTATCAGCAACAACAACCGTATGCGGACGATACCGAGTTGGATTACGATTCGGAGTGGGAAATGGACGAGGAACCGGCCCCTCAAGAGGTCCAACCCCTCACCACCTTCAACGACTTTCTCAACGCGGCCCAGAATCCAACTGGAAGTCGTGTAAGTGTCATCTTGTTTCACATTCAAATAATCTAAAAACAAACGATCTTTTAAAATATTTCCTAACTGCAAAAATAAGTAGATTGTTCACTTAAAGCTAATCTATAAAATGTATAAAACAACGTTTTAAATACCTAATACCTAGTTTTTGAGATAGTGAATAGACATAGTCGCTGTGAAATGCCATCAAACACTCAAACAACAATTTAAAAACCCATATACTAAATTTATATATTCAATGATATATTAACGTGTAAAAACAAGTTTATTTTTTAGTGACACACCTCTAATCCCTTTTAATTTGTCTGATTATTTTAAATCATATTACCATTAATAGCAGAGTCTGCGGGCCCAGAAGTCCCCTATTTTGAACAGGCGTCGCGCCTCATCGATAGCTGGAAATTTGTTGCACTCTGACTATACGTACACCCGGAACAGTATCGGCGGAGCTCCAATTGATGCTAACGACTTTCAGCGCATTTCGCACAGCAATAGCGCCAGGTGAGGTTTTCTAAAATCTTAATATATTAAATAGCACAATTTATAGACAACCTTTTTGTATAGAAGTCGTGGCTTTTTTTTAAATATATTTTTAGGTAAATATATATGCATATAAAAATACAATTATAATGCAAAGCAATTGATGTCAATTCATATATTAGATTTTTGCTTTTAGGTTTTGGGAATAAAAATTGTATAAAGTACAACGCATTTCCTAATGCCAACTCTCAGTCAGCATTAAATCTTATTAATATTAAAAACGAAAAATTGTGTGTGGCTTTTCTCAGCTTTCTTTTGCTTCAAACAATGTATTTAACATTTGTTCCCGTTTCTGTAGGAGATTAAGATGGTAATAAAGAAGCAGAAGGCGTCCAGTCATAAACAAGAAAAAATGATAATTAAAAACTTGCCACAATGCTGGGCGGCAGGTGGGCGGCAGGAAGGAGACGGAGACGGAGAAGGAGAAGGGCCACCCTAATTAGGTAACCCCGACCGCCTGAAACCCTCAAGTGCGACCTCTTGCCGCCTCCTTGTGGGCCAACGACTTGCCATTGTCATTGGCGTCCTAGCGCGACCTTGGCCCAATGGGGTTTTGAGTTGAAAGCTGCAGATTTAATGCCAAATAGCTTTACAAATGTTTTGTGCTTTATTCCATTCACATTTCACTACGAAATGGGTTGTGTGAGTTCAGAAACAAACAAATGAAATTCACTTTTCCAACATTGCACTCCGGAATAGATGAATTTTTAAATGGCAAGCTTGCCACATTTATTGTTTTCCCGCTGGGAAAACCATTAAAATATCTTGCCTTTCTTTAGCTTTTTTTTCTATTTCTATTTTATTTCGCCACTAATTTGATGTAATACATTTTTTACGCTAAAACACTTTTCAATCAGTTTTCAATATGTCACGCTAAGTGACTTAATTTCGAGCTGAAATGCAATTAGCCTTTACCCAAGCTACGGCCTAATTCTATGTGTCCCTTTGGATAGGCAATAAAATGTCACAACTTCTGTGTGCAGGTATATGGAAAAGTATGTTCATTCCTAAAATGGGCAAAAAAAGCCTAATATCCATAATTAATGAAATAAAATGACAATGGAGTGAGAGAATGGCGTTGAACTAAATGTGTAATTTTCTACAAATATATAAAGATAATGGTGTAGTTCATTGTAAAATTGAATAACTGGCTATTGAAACCAAAAATGCATATCTTAAAAATCATAATATTAAATATAATGCATATTAAATTGAATGATTTAATTTTAAAATATTTAATATAAACAGAAAATATATGGGTCCTCTTTTTTTCATATGAATTATATTTAAGTATATATTAATAAAATATTTTAGATATATATATATTTAAAAATTGTTTATTTAATATTTAAATTGAGTATGAAATACTGGGATTTAGCAGTAGAAGTAGGAGCATTAAAAGTACTAATTTGTTAGTGACACATAACGCTCTAACTGATAGATATCAAACTTTATCAGAAATATTTATACAAGTATTATATTATCTTGTTGTCCATGTGTTTAGGGATCGCATGTCTCTGGCCGGAGTCCTGACCTTCCACCAGGCCATGTCCGGAGCTGTGTCGCCACAATACGGCACCGTGGGTTCGCTAAATCCGCCGAATACTTCCGGTGGCTCCGGCGAAAAGCGGACGGATGGTGGTTTACCCGGAGGATCGGCCCACAATCTTAATGTGAACGTGGGATTGGGGTTTCTCGGTGGATCAAGTACCACCTTAGCTGCTGTCGCCGAGGTGACTAGTGGTCCGGATGGTAATGGCGACTCCACCGACTCTATATCCCCGGTCTCGATGATCCCCAGCAAACAGCAACAGCAGCAGCAGCAACTGCTGCAGTTGCAGCAGGAGCAGCAGCACTTGCCCACCCATTTGCCAATGAAGCGGGAGAGGGGCGTGGGCGAATCCTCCGGAGCCAGCACATCCGGCACGGCCATCACCGATCTGGCCGCCTCCGTGGTCTTGGCCTCCCAATCCGGCAAACCATTGACGGAGCGACAACGTTTGAGGACCTCCAGCATGCCGGCGGAAAGCCGCAGGGTGAGTAAAATAAATGCAAGATGAATACGGTATCTCAATCTTTACATGTGTCTCTAAGGATATGCAAATAACTAAAAAAAAGCATTTAATTCAGAAACTATTACATTTTCAGTGGAATTTATGAGAACATTTATTTAGAAACAATACAACTTTGCGAAATTTGGCAGATTAAAATTGATATATAAATATTCAGATATTTGAATAGTTCCGTTTTTTGAAAACAAGGACAAAAGTTATTTCATTTAGATATGCTTCCAAACTTGTTATATTAATATTTTAGAAACTCAAAATATAATTTTTATATAGGTTTTTAAACAAACGTAAACATTACAAACACATATTTCACTTTAAGAACTTTAACATAATTATTAAAATTAAAAACAATGAGCAATGCAATTCAAACGATGCATAAATAGTATTTAAACATATCCGAATGGTTAAAACCATGCGAAATATATTAACATATGCATGAAATATTCCATTTTCATTTGGCACAGCCTTCCACAAAACCGTTCAGTCATTGAAACTATTTATTTTCGGCTAAATTTGGCCAGTGCCTAGTCATTCGATGCGGGAACCAGTTAAGCCAGTTCAAGGAGCAGGCTCATAGGGATTATCGCACCGACTTGGGACGACAAGTAATTGAAACTCGGTCCGGGGAACAAAAGCCATTTAAGGACAGCCATTAGCACTCCACTCAACAGTGAAATATTCTTAATAGTGCCACTAGCTTGAGAAAAAAAAAAAACAGAACAAAAAGACAACAAGCAGAAAAACTAGATATAGACAAGACGAAGAGACCAAAGATTACACATGTATCTGGGGATGTGCATTTCTGTGGGTATGGGTGTGGGTGTGGGTGTGGTTTTGGGCGTGCTTGTGTGTAGGAGGTGTGGGCCAAGTTTTCAGCATTCAGCATGACTGAGCATTTGATACATGGTTCTACTTTTGGCCCTCTGCTCCCGGGTCATTGGCTGTTTGAGTCGTTTTTTTTTTTTTTGGCAGGAGAAGGAAAAATGAAGATGAAGATGAGGACGTGGACGAGGACGAGGGGCGTAACTGCCAGCTTATCATGTCCCGAGTTCCACCTTTCCCCCGGTGGCCAAACCCACTTGTGCCACCTTGTGTCTTCCTGTATCGTTTTTGGCATATATGAAAAATAGCCATAATCAGCGGAAAAGTTAAGTGCTTACCCTCTGGCCTATGCCATATTCCTTACCGAGCTCTGCTCAGATTTTAAGGCTATTTTGCGTTGTAAAAATTTACCAGTATCATAGCCAAGTAAACTATTACGTCTCATTTACAACATTTAAAACAATATACAAGCTGTGCACTTTAAGTGTAGACCTCAACTTTAAAAATGTCAAGCTTAAGAAGTCGCGTTTTGAAGAATAACTTAAATAGAGAACGGCAAAGCAGTTGAGAAATTTAAGAGTTTCGTAAGGAAAAACATTTAATCACTTTTAAACGGCTTCGTTTCATTGGATAATAGGCTGCTTAAGAATTCGCGCATTGCAGTATGGTTTCTAGTACTCAACGAGTATTAGAAAGTCGTATCGTTCCAATTTCTCTATGGCTGTGTGTCACTTCCGTGGATTAATGGCTGCGATTGTAGCCAGGGGAGCCATAATTCCCACGCTTCTTTGGCAGACTTGCACTTGTCTAGTCGCTGCAGCTAATGTAATTAGTTTGTGAAATTGCTCGAGTGAAAATTGTGCAGCGCGTGCTGCGAACTACGTGCCACCTGGAACCACATTGCACCTGCCGCACAGTCTCGAGGGACCTAAAAGCGGCAAGAAACTGGAGCAGTTGAGGGCATCGACCCGTAGATTCCATCATTTTTCCCGTCCAGAAATTGATTTCAAAGCTGGTTGCCATTAAAGTGAGCGAGAAACCTTCAAACGACGGAATCAATGGCAAGCAAAGGTATTGCGATTGAGATTGGAATTGATTTTGGCCAAGACTAAAGTCTAAAGTCGGGGGATGGGGGCGGCATTAAATTTTGGAATAGTGTCAAGTGTGGCGGCGCTCTCGACGCCAAAAGGGTGAAACTTGTCGACTGCAGTCCCAGATCCATTCACACTTCACCTCTTCTTCAGACAAAAAAAAAAAAAAAAAAAAGAAAAAACTGTGAGACTGAAACCCCGAAGGCAGCCGAAAAAGTGCAGAAACTTTTGTGCCACCCCAGAAGTGCCAAAAAGGGCAGCCGCAAATATGTGAGTGCTGTAAGCCCATCGGGGGCCAACAGGAGCCGAAAAAACTGCAGGATGCCTCTTAAAGCTGCTGCTTTTCCATTCTTCGTATTCCATCGCCAAAGGCTTTGTTCACACCTTATTGGACTGCTCGAATAAAATCAAATATTGTCATTCGGCCTGATGGGCTTTCAGGAATGGGACATTTATTTATTCGTGGCTAGCCGTCAAGTTTTGTCCTTTCTAAATGAAAAAATATGAAGGTATCTGCATGTATTTGCTTGGTATTTTGTTGACATTTATTATTGTTTAAGTAATTTGATTAAAAAGTTATCCTGGCGTATGCGTAATTTTTTGAGTGTATGTCATTGCGTATACGACAACTTTGGGTTGCGTAAATGTTAAAGCACACATTGCGTATACGTTAATATTTTTTTTAAAATTAAACTAACTAACAAATTAATTTTAATGTTTTGTAAATGAAATAAAGTCAATAAACAATCATTGTATTTATTTCAATTCTTATGACTCTTTCTTTAAAATTTTAATTTAGTAGTTTTCAAAAAAGTTAATAATCTTTAATTGTTTCTCTCTACTCTTCTTTTGTCGGTCAGAAGTGGAACATTTTGTAACATTTAGCTCAACTTGACCTATTTTATTGTGTTAACTTTTTGTCTGGAATTTTGTATATGTAATTTTCAGCCCCGCTTGGCAGAGATGCGACGCTCGGCGATCCATGCCGGTGATCCGGACATGACCTACTACCGTCTGCGCAGCTTCAGCATCACTTCCAATGGCATCTGCAACTTGGGCGATTCTTTAAGGTATGTTCTGAATATGTTCTGATACATTTAAGCCAGCCTCTGACATTTGTTTTCCTCTACTTTATTTGCAACAGAAGCCGCAGGTCACGTTCGATCAATTCCGTGACATCCACGGGCACTTCAAACAGCGGCGTTGCGGATCGACACAATAGGTGAGTTCAGTGGTTCAACGTTCGGTGGCTCAATGTTCTGTGAACAAAAGTGGCTGGCAATAAATTGTTTATGAAATGACAGTTCACATGGCGACAACAATGCGAAACGTGCGGCATTTTCACGTCCACATAGTCTGACTAATTTCATACAATTTCCACACCAAACAATTTCCGCTGCCATTAACAACGGCAGATGGAAGGTGAGGGGGCCAAAATGAAGATGAGTGGTAACAATGCCAAGGCGTTTGCCATCTCATTGTCAAAGGAAACAGTGGCACAGTGGAATATCTAGCTTGTCTCGAAAAAGTTTAGTTGCTTATTGTTTTTATTAACTTGTGGTAAAATATCTGAAAACTCTCAAGGAATAATTTCTTAGTTTTTAAGGGATGGTTTTTTTGAGCATTTTGTGGTTAAATCCACCCACTGTGGCCCGTTCTTTTCACTGAGCTTACTATTGTTATTGTCCTTGTCTTCGTAGCAACGCATCGGGGGCATCGGGCGAAGTCATCGACGGGGATCCGAATGTTCCTGCCTACAAGATTGCCATGCTCGGCGGCTCCGGAGTGGGCAAAACCACATTGACATACCAGTTCACCACTTCCGATTACATATGCGCCTACGACCTGAGTCTCGGTAAGTCGGCATTTTATTATTTATCACACTGCTATTTATCAATTGGCACTTTTTAATTTGGCAAATGTAAAACTATATTTATTAGGCCTGCAGCCACCGATGTCGCCGTCAATCCAAAGAATACATTTTTTTTTGTCTGCACTTGTACAGTCCGCATAGCAGAGTATTACAAATTCCCTTATTCTTTAATCCGTCTATACAATTATGGCAATAGTATTTTACTTGGTAGTCTCTTGAACATACATATACCCTGCACGTAAAGCATTGCAAAGCAATTTATTTGAGAGCATAACATTTTAGAAAAATATATATAGTTTTTTTGTTGATATTTTTAATATCTTACTTTTTATAACATTATATTAGCACATTTATGTAAATAAACAAATTAGTCAGACGATCAGTTTAAGGTCTCTTGTATATATTTTACCGTTCTTAGCCCATGATATTTCATCAAATTCACTGGCTATTTAGATTTATAAAATATATTATTATTTATACATTATTGATAAATTTATAATAGGCACGTTTATAGCATGCACGCAATAACTTCTTAACTTGATGTATAACATGTCTAGGAAATTTACGATTATTATTAGTTCATATTATTGATACGTTTGAGAACAGCTTACAACTCGTAGTTTTGTATAGGCTTTAACATATCAAATAGTTCCTAAATAAAATTAATTTATAATATGGTAGGGGTATCCCAGGATTTTTTTGGGCAAAGTAATTGAAAATTATGTCGCTTTTCCTTTTCCATTTCCATGCCACCCAAGTCCTTTTCCGAATCTCTACCCCTGCTGCTTCACTAAGCGGCCTTTAATCAAACACATTTGCATTTTAATTATGGCACAAAGTCATAAAATGTGAAAAGCGGCAGCGCTAATTTCATTAACTTTCGCGGCCATATCACTGGGCTTGGAGTGTGAAAAAGCTAGAGAATATGGGCGTGTTCTTGGCTGCCGCCCACTTTTTGATAACCGCTTTTGAGCATTTAAGTGGATTTTCTCAGTAAAGTGAAGAATGTTTTAACTGACATCAGTTCAATGTCTTTAGTTTTTTCTTGTCCAGAAAATCGTATTAATCATAATTCAAATGTTTCTCTGCTAAAAAGTATGTCTCCTAAGTAAGGTGTCATAGCATCAAAGAATTAAGTAGTAGTAATAGTCTTTTATTAATTAAAATCTATTGATACATTTTTTTCTCCTTTAAGTTCTAATGGTATTGCGGTTAAAACAATTGATGAAGTGTTAATATACCTTTGATTAGTTGTATATTTTGTATTAAATAGCAATTACCTGATTTTTAGTTCATTGCAGGCTTTGAAAGTCTAAGCATATGTTAAAGATATTAAACTTTTTAATTTTATTGATATTTGACATATGAAGTATTTAAAAGAAAAGGGGTTTAAAAGTATCCAGTGCGTGCATATTTAACTTTTTACATCCCGTTAAAGTATCCCCATAGATCGATAATCCTTTCCTAAGCCTGTGAACTTATAATTTTCCTGCCAAGGTCAAATGAGCGTTCCTTGATAGTCGGCTTAATTAATTGGGAGATGAAAAGAAGCACCTGTCGGCGCATCGTGTAAAGTTCTCATTTGGCTAGCCTCTTCGAACTAATTGAATTCCAGCACTTTCGAATTATGTACCTTTGATGGACCACATTCATGCTCTAGCACTAAGCTAATTACTTCTGGGATATTCTACCAAAAATTGTTCAAGTTGTGGGTTTGAGTTCGTTATTGAGTTTTAGTTTGAGTAATCTGATCAAGGCGAAAGTTGTCCAATCACAATGTTTCCAGAACAGCAGATAATTGCAGTTGCAAGTGGTGTGTACGTTGCAATACTGATTTCGTATTGATTTTGCTTATTTCATAAACAGCTTTATACAATTTTTTTAATATGAAATTATAATTCCGTTTATGCTACTCTTTCCTGCCAATAAATGAATTTCTTCAGTGTACCTAAGGGATTGCGTGCATTTTATGGCCATGTCATTTCTGGTCATATGTTGGCATTGTCGAGCAATATAATAGGCTTTTCGCAACAGGATCAGACGACCGGGGGCCAGAAATAAAATAATGCCTTGCCATTGTCTTTACGCAGGAATTTTCTGCTCTGTGTAGTCGAGATAATAAAACTGAGTTTTAATTAGCCCAAAGGCAAGGGCAAACTTTATGACAGTTGTGTGTACGAGTGGGCTTTTGATTGTTTGGGAATGTCCATATATATTTGGGAATTACCATAGAATGAATTGTTGTGCAACTGTTTCCTAGCTGCAGGATGTCCACTGCATGTGTGGCCTCTACTTTTGCTAATGCCAAATGCTTTCCATCAAGACACGCAAGTTTCTCGGTTATTTTTGCGTGTGGGCGTCGTCTTTTAGCCATCTTTCACTAATGGCCGTCACCGTTGCATGACCACAAAAAATCTGTGGATGGGCGGAATTGCCCACGCCCATCCCCCCCGCACCCTCCAAAAAAAAAAAAAAAAAAAGCAGATGGTAAATTTATTACATGCCATGTCCGTTTGAGGCAAATCTAAGTGCTTCTCATTTTAGAAAATAGCCCAAACACTGGCCCTTATTTTAGTTAAATTTATGCTGACGCAATCGCGCATGATTTCACTTTAGTTTTTCAGGTTTTGACTGTTGGCCATTTAAAGTGGTACAATCTTTGCCTGCTTAAGATTAATTCAACTCAATTTTCTTTTCTTAACTTCCGATTCCGACTATAATAGGATTGCCTACTTTAATGCAACTTTATTTTTAAATATTTTTCATTATGCTTGAGTAATTAGCACTTATAAGATAATATTTAATAAAAATGAGTTTATTTTTGAACCAGGGGAATATTTCTTGTATATATAACTTAGTCTATTTTAACCTATAGTCCAAATCTGTTGCCATTTAAGCTATTAAAAAGTTCAGCTTTGTGTGTGCCTGTTGCATGTATTCCGAACAAAAATATTCTGAACTATTAAAATCGAATAATCCTCACTAATTTCAGAGACCACAACACGCCCATTTGGGTCTAAAAATATCTATGTATATATCCCACAACGCGTGTGTGAGCCCCTCGAAATGGTTTGTTTTTCAAGGACAACCGAGTAGCACGTGTAATCCCACCAAAATCAGGGGATTCCCCTCGTTGGTTGGCTGTGTTTGCCCAGGCGTTTGTATAATTGCATTGCAATGACTTCGTTTTCGCCGCTTGTCAATGCCACAGGCTAATCGGCTCAGCTGGCTGAAGTAGGACTGAGGAGGAAGTAGGACTTCCATTAGGAAGACGGCATCTGGAACACACACTCACTCACTCACAAAATAGGGGAACATGTTTTCTATTCAATTTGTGCGGCACCGCCCACTCACTGAAAATTTCTTGCCACATGCAAATTAACCGCTCGGAGTACCTATGGACTTTTTGTCATTTTGACATTGGCATTGCTTTGGGTTGGGTTGGGTTGGGGTTTTCGGGGTTGCAGCTTTTCTGGGGTTTTTTTTTATTGTAGTTGCAGACCGGGTCGACTGGCGTCTAAATATTTGCCACAGCTGAATGCAAACAGAGTTGGACGCAAACTGCAGTCATTGTCTGCTTTTAAGACTCCTTCCCAGTTCCTTTTTTTATTTTTATTTTTCTGGTTCTCCTACCATCCCGTTGGGTTGTGTTAAACTGCTGACAAAGCGTACATTGGACGGTGCTGATGCAGTGAGAGAAACATCATTAAAATACAATTAGAGCACTGGTTTAAATTTGCAAAGCTTCAATATTTATCCATAAAATTATTTGTAAGAGTTTGGTATTGTATAAATGCAGTTGAATATATATTTAAATATCAATTGTTTGCCTATCTATAAGAACTAGAATGCAGCTGACAATATCTTTTACTACTCGAATAAAGACTTGGGAACTCTAGAAATTTTTACATTGCTCACATACAAACGTGTGAACTCTAGCAATTTGTTTGCTCCTTGGGAACTCTAGAAAATGGTATGTGGAAATTTTCTGCTTAATAAGACAAACACCTCTTTTGCTGCTGAATTGTAAGGTATACAAGTACTATTTTTAATATGTAGCTTAATAACATAGTTAGTTTGTTTACAACATATTTATTATTCCTTAAAGAATTTAAAAGAATTTTGATATAGAAGAAAAGACTCCTCTTGATAAACAAATTTTAAATTATTTAAAAACTTAACCATAAGGGCGTAAATTGTGAGTGAGTTAAATTAGTTTTTTAGCTCGAAGGCATACATTTTTGTAATTTTTTTGTGGCAGTGTGGTGGTGACGTAGCACTTTCCGTGTGCACCGCCGTAGAGGAAGGTTTTACGAGAATGAAGTCCCTGCACTATGAGTCCTCCACTCCAAACACACACTGACTGCCTGTTTCTTTTGCACGTTTTATGGTCTCGGGCTAAAAAACGAGTCAATGAAGTGAAGCGGGAAAAAACAGGGGGAGCGTCAATTGCGACATTAACTTGCTGGGCAAATAAAATCACTTTGATTACGGTTTTATGGGCGACACGCCCATCAACGCCCATGGAAAGGTTGTCGCCGCCCCTGCTGCAATTTGATCGATTTAAAACCCTCGAAACTGCATTTGGGGACTTGCTGTTGTTTGGAATTCCCCGAAAGTCCCAACATATTAGTATAGTGGTTTGTTTTCAATATAGGTTTTGCTTTTTCTACCAACTACACGCTTGAATAATGAATAATGCACCGCTGCTGTTTGATTAGTTTGATAATACATATGCTTATTTATTTAAAAAAAAAAACCTATCTAGTAAGTTTAAAGGAAATAAGGGAATGTCTGACAATAAAGCTACCCTCACTTTTTTCGGCTGTGTGTTTTTTTTTTTTTTAGATGATGAATATGGACAGAAGACGGTGTCGGTGCTAGTCGATAACATTGAAACGGATTTGGAGATTATTGATCATCCCGCATGCGAGATGTCGGTGAGTAAGCACAGAAAGCATCAGTACCAGTATTGGTACTGGTATCGGTATCCGTATCCGTATCCGTAGTGGTAGCATCTCCCCCAAAAAGTAGTGTTCCCACAAAACTCCCCCCATTTTGTAGCTCAGACCCTCTTCATCTAGGGAACTTCTGATTTTCTCGATTTTCCCGATTTTCCCGCCGTCTAGCTGAGTGGGTCAAGCGGTGGGTTAAGAGCCATCTGCCTCTGACACATTTGCCAAATGTCATTAACACTTCTGTGCCTCGGCCGTCACTTAAAAAGGAAGAAACAAAGTGATGGGATAGAAATGGGTGTATGAGTCTGGTATACTAAGGTATGGTATTGAGCAAAACGGGGGTTCCCATTTAATTAAATGTTCTTTTCAATTTTGTTTTGACATTTTAAAGTTTAGTTTGTATTTTAACAAGGGTTAACAAATTTTAAAATGATTGTGAAAGCAAAGGAGTTTCTTTAAAGCCGTGACAATAACATTTTAATATATATTTAATCATTAACTTACACCAACATTTTTTACTTCAATGTGTCTAAAAAAAACCGGTTACTTTAAATGTTCACATTGTGTTGTAAATTTTCTTAAAAAGTATTTAAGCTTCTGGAAAATATTGAAAATCAAACTTTGAAAGGTTAAAGTTCTTTGAGTAAACATATATTTTTCCTCTGTGTCTTATATAAATGTGGATGTTTAGCAATTGTGATTGCAGCTCCCTTTTGTATTCAATATTTTCGGCCCACTAAATTGTGCTGACTTGCTGCTCGCTTTAAGTCTTTAGTCTGACCAAGGTCAGCTGTCTCAGCTGCGAAAAGCGCTCAGTGAAGCGTTTAACATGGCCTGGGGGCAAGGCCCATCCTCGAGTGGGTGGTTTGTGTATTTTTTACCCACCCATCTCCCATCGCCCACTTTCCACCGCCCTACCACTCCCCGCTTGGAAATTTCATTAGAACGATTTTTTTTTGTAGCCAACTTTTTGTGCACCATATGGTTCATCTTTGTCTTTTTGCTATTTCCCCCATCACATTTGGGCCGCCCTTCAGACGGAGGCCTTCTGTGCCACCTACAACATCGACCTCTTCGTGGTGGTCTATTCGGTGATAGATCGAACCACCTTCGCCGCAGCCGAGCGGGTGCTGCAGTACCTCAAGGAGAACGAGATGCTCTTGACCCGCGGAGCTATTTTGGTGGCCAACAAAACGGATCTGCAGCGCCATCGAGTTATCACCCGTCAAAGTGAGTAGAGCCCTCCTATTTCAATGTGCCATGAATACTGCCTCTCTGACTGGCTAAATAATACGTAAAAAATTATTATTATTAACACTTTAAAGTGATGACAATACCAATAATCACTATCAAACTATCAAACAACAAAATTTTTATTTTATTTTGTCAATGTTTGCATTTTTAATAAGGGGTTAAAAAAAATCAATTATAGGACCTAAAGACTTTTGTTTGTATTATTATTTTGCATTGAATGAATCCAGTTGGTCGGCAGAATTAAAATATTCCTTAAACAACATTTATTTCCTCCCCCCTCCGAAAATTGGCACATTTTCAGTGGGTCGCAAGGTGGCCAAGGATATTGCTTGCAAATTTATCGAGACCTCCTCTGGATTGGATCACAATGTGGACGAGCTGCTGGTTGGCATTGTGGCCCAGGTGAAGCTCAATCCGCAGCGCTTGCGATTGCTCACGGAACTGGAGCTGCAGCGTTTGAACCTACAGAGTACGATTCAGAAGCATCGTGGTATGCACTTGCAGTCACGTCGAATGGTGCGCCAGATGAGCATTTGCCAGGGCGACGAGGAGATCTTCGATGGCGGATTGCCGGACAAATTGCCGAACGGCGACGCCAACGACAAGGACAACAACGATCCGGACGGAGTGGCGGGTACCTCGAAATCGAAATCCAAATCGAATCGATCCCGCATCGAGAATCCCAATCGCAAGCCGCTCAACCTGGAGAGCATACTGAAGATGGGCGAGAGCGAGGTGGACGAGGACGAGGATGGGCTGAAGCACTCCTCGACGCAATCGATGCCCGTTGGCAAATTCAATATGCTCGCGGCCACTATTCGTCATCGGCGTCCATTTCGCAAGCGTCGCTCGTTCGACGGCGGCGTTTCCACATCTGCGGCAGCGGATGCGGCCGCCGAACTACAGCGGCGCCATCAGCTCCGAACCATGGATGACTTGCAGCTGGAGGCGGGGCGCCAGCAGAGGATCTCCTCGGAGGACGAGCGGATAGCGGATGATGATGATGATGATGGCAACGACGATGGCATTGAAGTGGGTTTCGAGGGAAGGCGAAGTACCTGCAATCGCAAGGTGGTCAAGAAACTGACCGCCCGCACCAAGGTATTCATCTCGTCGGTGCTGCGGTTCAAGAAGGGCATCAGCCTCAAGCGCCGCAACTCCTCCAGCTGCAGCGATCTATTTGTGATTTAAACGGCAGCCAGGAGGAGCAAGTATAGGAAGTAGGAAGTAGGATGTAGGAAGTATAGACTGAATGTATATAGAAGGACAAGGGGGAGGACAAAAAGGAGGAGCAGGAGGAGCGATTCTAGGAGATCCGGAGGAGTACCAGAGACCAAGAGAGCAGTCACAACGAAGCAGCAGCGCATAACCGAGGTGGAGTCGAACACGGCAGTGCACGGATTGCACGGAGTGCAGGGTTCAAAGGGCACCAGCTTATGAGGCAGTTCGTCAGTTCATTTCCATTTAAGATTATGCCACACAAAAACTACAGGGACAAGAGCCGTGGTAAAGATCACATTTTAATTGGCCACAAGCGGTCATGCAAAAGCGACCTAGAGTTTACAAATCACTTCAAATGGTAGTGATTGTATATCTCTAGTGAAGACTCTTAATAAACGACAAAAGCTATGGCCAAAAGGAACCGCAAGAGTTTCAATATCACTTAAAAAGCTGTCAAAAAGTAGGCTTTACAAAGTAGTTATCCTTGCGACTTTCGCCTAGAAAATATAACATAGCCGACTTTTGGACAATTTTATAAGTGATTTCTTTCTAGATAACTCTGTGGTAAAATCAGCATAAGCAGAAGCTTAGTCACCACATTAGCAAAAAAAAATAATAATAAAACTAATAACAAATAAAAAGATAAAAAAAAAAACCCACCCTTTTCACAACCGGTAGGTGGCGCTGCACATGCGGACAATAATTTTCTTTTTGAAAAAATATATCGATCAGCAAATTTTACAAAATTGAAAATCAAAAAAAAAGAAGAGGATTAATGCAAATTGTATCCTATCCGCCAAAAAAAAATTAATAATGCAGCAAAAAGAAAAAAAAAAAAACAACAACAAAAAATTGGTCTATTTCAGCTTAAGTGGCACATACTTTTGTAGAAACAGAAAATATCTTGCAAGGCAAAATATAACGAGATACGACAGCAAACATAATTCTGTTTTTTCGTGGTTTCTTGTCATAATTAAACGTGCGGTTTCCCGGCGAGTTTCAAGTATGTATGAATGGGCTTTATTAAATCAAGAATAGCAAGAAACATGAAAAAACTGTGCAAAAATGGAAACTTTTTCTTGACAAGCAACAAAAAAAAAAACAGGCTCAGAACACAAAGAACAAAAAGCAAACTAAAAGCATTGCAAATTGCTCCACACAATTGCAATTTTTACAATCGTTTTTATGCTGGCGCGCTTTTTAATGAAATTCGATTTCATGTCGCCAACGGTCCAGCTTAAATGCTCAAATATTAAACATTAACAATATTGGATACATTTAAATAGTTTCCCTCTTTGACTTACATTTCTTTGTGATAGTCTTGTATTTGATTATTTTGTAAAGACCTTCCATTATTGTAGGAATATATAGTTTTTCCCTAACCAACTATAAATGCAATGTGAGAGCTTTTTGTGGAATTTGCACCTTTACGCTGCTCGTTTGGCTTTTGCTAAACTACGTTATAGTAAAAAACATAATTGTCTAGCGCCGTAACTAAGAACCATTTTTAAGGCGCTTTTATCCAAAAAAAACATTAATATTTTACACTTCTAAATGTCGTGTGGTTAAAGAATATCGAAAACACAGCACTACAATTCACTAAAACAGAACGGAAGGTACAAACAAGAAAAGATCATTGATATGTATCAGGTCAGCCCGATTTCTAGGTTTCTCATATTGCAAAACTAATATATATTCTATGAAAAAAATGTATGAGCTTAGTTGGTAAAAAAAACCTTCAACTACCGTGAAATATATGGGACAAACAAACAAAACTTGTAACTTTTTTAGCCCTGTAAATCACATAGGTTGAAACACTTGAATCCAGAGAAATAGAAAACGTTTTCAAGAAGGCATACAATTGGTCTGATCTGAGGTTAACTGCAAAAGACACGCAACACAACACGCATAATATTCTATATTAAGAACTTATCAATGTATCAAGCGACCGCATAAAGCAAAATCAGAGAAAATCGCATCTATTAATATCAATTAAAATCTCTGAGAACATGGTAGAATGGTAAATGTTACCTCCACACCCCCAAAGTATAATGAGCTTAGCCAAAGCCTGCAATTCTGTCCTAAAGCTAAAAAAAATAAAATACCATGAAAATATGAATGCAGGAAAATTCTTAGCGGCTACCAACATATCACAAACTAAGACAAATTAAACAGGCTACGGATATAAAAGGTTCTCTAGCAGAGGAATAATTTACATATTATAATTAATTAAAAAAGACAATGAGCATAATTTAATAGTTTGTAATTACAGTTCTTAATTTTTCTTTTAATGAAACTCTTACTTGTTTTCCATATCTATTTCTGATTGGATTTTTTGGTTTTGAATAAAAGGATTTAATTTGTATATTTAATTTTTATTGAATGCAAAAGAGAACAAAGAACAGGCCACATTTTTTTTGGCTGTATGCAAGCCAAGCATCAGCAACACAAAGTCAACCAAAAAAAAAAAAATGAAATAAGTGAACACACTAAGCCACAACAAACTCCCTAATCCACCCACATGCTCCCCACGTCAAACAATCTAAAAATATGGAAAACGCAGTCAGAAAACAAGGAATTGAATTGCCCCAAATGAAAAGACGTTGGTCGTATTTTGTTGAAGAAAAATAAGTTGACTTCTTTGACCAGTAAATAGTTGGACAAACTTGTTCGGAAGTCCGACTAAATGGAAATGCTAATAAATGAATACTAGTGAACGGAACAACGAATTGTAAATGACCTAAGGTGGAACTTTGAATGCAAGTGAAACGCTCACAAATGACATGACACACTAAGATCCAAGTCCCGTTTGTCGATTTTGTTCCAACCTATACTTAGGTTTTAACTTTAACTAGTGAGCAATGTTGTATAATTTACTTTTTATAATAATATTTTTAGGTAGACATAATTTTTAAAATTCTTTTAAAACCTTTCTTACGTGTTGAAAAGTCTATTTGAAAATCTTGTAATATGGAGTTTTAGTTAATTATTTTTTAGTTTAGGCGATACCCAACTATAACTAAGTTTATGTAACAAGTGTCTCAAAACGTGCAGAGATCTAAAGGCTCTCAAAATTGAATGGACTAAATGAGACTTAAAGCGGTCTCCAAATCGAATGACATAAAGCTGGTTCGAGCGAGGGAATCCAAAGACCTTAAAACACACAGACTTGGCACACTCAACGGATAGAATCACTTCGGAACTCAACCCACTACCTACTACTTCAAAATCGAGACTGATTTTACTGCTCCCCCACACACAGCACACAAAACCAAACATACATATATGTTACATCTAAAAATCAGAAAAAAAAAACCTTAAAACAACATAAATTTCCATTTCCCCAAACCATTTCGCATTGCACCACTCAAACGATAATTTAAGATTTACAAAATATATAACGTATCGTTTGGATAGCGTTTTATATGAAAACTACTTAAATACAAATATATCTTATATGGATTATATACCCCTATTATACATATATGTATACAAAATATATATACGATGAAATATTTACACACACGTTTTACTCTGTGCCATTTGGGTGCGCTAATAAGTTAAGTTGAACCAAACTTTATACGAATTTCGGACAAGTTCAGCGGCATTTTAATGGGAAACCATTCGACTAATGGTTAACTTGTTCTTATATATATTATTTAAGTGTGATACGCGAACGGAGGTTTAGTTAAAGAGAAGAACTTTCCTGCTTTTTATAGTTTGACCGCCCGAGAAAAACCTATCTCCCATTTTCACTCCGTTCGAATCAAATCAAAAGCAGGAGAAAAACATTACAACTTTTTCCCAACAGACGAGGATTCACTTTTTTGACTTACAAAATTGTTTACAAATCAAAAGATACTGTAGTTGATTCTATTTTACACGAATGTACACGATAAATACGAGTTGTTAATGTACGTTAAACATTTATTAATATTTATGAATGTGTTGCTGTGTCCGAGGACTCTAGTCTTTAATGTATACATATATATATGTATATATATATATATCTACCTACATTGAACGACAATTTGCTCTTCTCCCGAATCCTTTTCCAGTGATTTAAAAGTTTTCGAGCAAAGCAATTGAATTAGGTAAGCAAAGGCAATGATGGTTCCACGTGGAAAAACATTTAGCAGCCACACTTAAGTACGCATGCATAAATGCATTTGTAATTCAGATTTGATTTGAGAAACCTTCATTCAATCAAATTGAATGGACACACTTTTAACCATAACAAAATATTTTACTCTTTGTGTACAATTTAATTACAGCTTATATCTGCAATAAATCCGCAAAGTCTTTCAATGGGTATGTGGTATGGGGTATGGGGTATGGGGTATGTGGTATGGGGTATGGCAGGTGGCAACTTTCTTTTGCAGGCTGGCCAAGGATTCAGGGGAAATTCATCACGCCTCGCCACATATCTGCTACGCATAGTTTCCAATTAAAACTTATTCCATACCGGAATTTGAGAAATGGTCCCGGCACTTAATCAACGCAACGCAGCTCCGCCACGACCTCCAAAAATGTTGTTTTCTGTGGCTAAGTCGGGATTCCTGTGTTCGAAGGCCTCGAAAGGACGAAAGTGACCCCCCATAAATGACTAATCAAAATGCCAGAGATGCCGAGAATGCCGGAGAAAAACGAAAAAAAAAAACTAAAGCGAAGAAGATGGCCTGGCCGTAACATTAATTATGCTGCGTCGATGGTTGCCCTCTTTCAAAGACACTTTAAGTATTGGAAACGGAAGTAAAAAACGCCAAAGTTACAACAAAGGTAAGTTTATAGGTGCACGGTAGGAGTACATTTACTTTTAATTAAGTCAAAGATAATTGATAGGTATAGACAAAGGTCATTATGAGCTTACGATAAATTTGTAGTTTTAAGAGTTTTTAAGAGATTTCAAAAGGTCAGCAAGTCATCTGTTTCTGTTACGCTAAAATTATTTGATAACTGCTTGGTGACCTTTTATCCATGGAGTTTAACCAGAAACAAATGTAAGCCTTACTGTCGCAAACACAACTGGTTCTAAAATGAAATGTTTTCTTTTGTTTAATTTGTGGTGAAAGAAAGTTCTGACCAAGATAAGCTTTTATTTGTTTACTTTTTATTTATGTGACGGCATACTCACAACTGTAGCACAGTTCATATATAGAAGATTATTTGCCAAGTTTATCTTTGTTGATAGATTGTCCAACAGCTAAAGGCATACTTTTTGGCCTTTATAAATTCATATAGAAAATCTACATTTTGTTGTATTTAAATCTCAAACGAAACTTAACAAATAAAATACATAAAAAAGACTTGAAAAACTTTACAAGTAACGTGGGAGTGTTAACTTAGGTTTTGTTTAACGAAAACTCAAGTTTTCACTTAAATAACTTATTCCAATAGCATTCTTTCGGGCTGACAAATAATTGAGCTCTGCTCTCTGATCCAAATACCTCTTTGAAAGTACATTTCTATACTATTGGTTATTGACTTTCTGAACCAGTTAAAACCATCTGTTTACTAATTAATTTATTAGGCTTATTAAAACATTTAATTTTGTCATTGATGTCAAGACTCGCACATTCACTATTAATTGTATAAAAACTCAATCTCTTAAACGGGTAATACTGTACTATGTAAACTGAGAGAAGAGAATTTGAAATCAAGAAAAGAGCGACGATCGTATGGCACGCCTTAAAAAAAGTCACTATCTACACAGAAAAATTTAGATAAGAGTGTATTTCCAAGCTACATTATAATTATCAGATATTATAAATCAATAGTAAACATTATCACGAATCTGTATTAAAGCGTATAATAAAATTGATGTTTATTTTTTTAAGTTTTTTATTATTTCTAATATATAATTAATCAAAACTTAATCTTTTTTTTTTGAGTGATTAACAATGTAAACAACGAGAACGTAAGTTTCGCAAATTCAGCACAAACTTTGTGTGTTTACATAGACGTAGAAATAATAAAACTAAAAGATAGTATTTTGATCTGCTTTTAGTTAAGAGTAACATTTTACTCTCAAGATAGTGGCAATGATTAATTTAGTGTATATAACAAAAGTGGCAACTTAATTGTTTTTATTATGGTTACTTGTTAAGCTTTAATATATATTATTTTTTTTTTTTTGTAAGACAATATTGATTCGATATCTAAATAATGAATTATTTGTCTGTAATCTTTTAAATAATACTTTTAAACGTTCAAATGTAAAACTTAAATTACTTTTTTTGGTTGTCATACATATGAATATATTTTTTTTTAAATGTAGTGCTTATTTTTTAATACTTTGGTGGCACCCACAATTTTTTGCTGCGCCCCTGGCCACTTTATATATATATATATCAGCTGGAGGTAATGGGAAGATGGCGTTGGCAGCGACGTCGACTGCGTCGCAGAACCGAACCGAACCAACGTCGATCTGGATGTCGGTTTCCAAGAGCATTTTCCATTTGGCGTTTCCAGTGTGAAGACCAATTTAAGTTTTTCGTACCGATATTCGTCGGTTAGTGATACTTTTTTTTGCTGTGCCCAATTCAAAGATTTCGCTAAAAAGTGTTCATAAAATAAACTATAACGTTCTATTCGATCGGTATGTATTTCGGCCACTAATCTTGACACAATCGCACTGTTTGTTTTGCCGACAAAAAGAACGATCAAACGAAACCCAATTTAAGCATAAGCAGCTCTAGTTCTGAACTTGTTTTTTTCGAATTTCGCCATTTGCATATTTATATACCACCTATAATGAAAACATATTCAAAAACTTGCCGGACCATAAAACCAAACTGATAATGGGATGAGGAAATCGTTGGCGGGGAGGGGAATGTGGGAGGGGGGAGGGAGAGGGCTGCTACTCACATCAACTATTATGTCAAATAGAATACGAAATTCTAATCAGCGATTCGGTGTGCGAAGAGAGAGAATGAGAAGGCGCGAGGTGAAGAGCGAGAGAGCGCGTGTTACAAATTATCAATTGAATTGAATTCGATTGAAACGCATATATGTAAGGCGAAGGTCTGTGAATTAACGGTCTACGTTTGTGATTAAATTAGTTGAAACAATTTTTAACAATTGCCTAACTGACTTCGAATGTGAAGCTGCTAATATAAGAAACTGTTTGTTAACGTAAACTACCATAAATATTCAGACAACGAAGCAAATTACAACGAATTACAACATTTAATAAAGCAGTAGCAATGTAATGTAGCAATTCAATCAATCCAATTCAATTCAATTTACTTTTATTAAAAAATTTGCTTTAAACATAAAATCATTAATAATAAGATATTAATAAAGTAAATAAATAAAAGACTACAGTAAAAAACTATTTTTAAATCAATTTAATTTTTCAGAAAATAATTTTGTTTCTGTATATGTGAAATATAAGAACAAATAAAATCAAATTTTGCTTGCGAAATCAAGGAAAAGTTTACAATCTGAACTGATAATTTTAGAAGCTCTTCGACTTGAAATTTGTTGTTTAAAGAAATTCAGAAATATGTGTGTCTACTTTTTAGCCAATTATCGCTGAGAATAACAAAACAGGCCCCCATGATCGTGACCTTCACCCGTCGTCGTCGTGGTCTTTAATCTCCCGCCCCATTTAATGTGGCCCGAAACTATTTGGCAGAGCAATTAAAAAATACAAAAATGGACAAGAAACCGGGGTGGTGCCACAATGTGTTCAAACCATAATCATAATCTCCACTGGCCGTCGCAACCTTGAGTGATAAATGATAAGCGCCCTTATAGATGATAAGATTTATGGTGCCATACGTGCACATAGATACAGCGTCTTTTCGGGATCGGTTCGAGTGGGGCACCGATAAGACCGGCAGTCGCGATTAGAATGGATTAGAATCCATCTATGGTGCGATAGGGAATTTTTTGTTGGGAACTACGCACGTGGCGCCCATTTAAGAGCCGTATCTCCGTATCTTATTTCTTTCAGGAGATAAACAGTTGCCATCAAGATGAGTCCGCCCCAACTGCTGAGCAAGGACTCACCCGACATTGAGGTAGGTTCAATCCGTACACTGCAAAAAAAAAATTAGCGCATTTCTTGAAACTCCATTTTCGAATTTTACGCTTTCACTTTTGATTACTTTTTTTTTAAATAAAAGAAAGTGTTGATCGTGTCTAATATTAAGTTTTTACTTTACTTTTGTATTCTGTTGTTATCTCTCTGCTCCATCAATAAATAATTTTATAAAGTTAGTTGATATGTTTAGATAAGATAAGATTATAATAATATTTTGTTATTCAATTTCAAGAGTAAATAAAAATAACAGTTCCAGTATTTGATTACCCAACCACATTATTGTAAAACTGCGATAATTTTCATGTCTGATATAAACATACTTATAATAAATACTTAATAAATGTTGTGACTGCTTGGGACCTGCTATCGCTAACAATAGAATTAGGGCTCATCTATAGGGATTAATCATAAAATTGAGCTTACTTTGTTTTTATGTATGTACTACAACATATGATATCTTACTCCCAGGACCTGCTATCGCTGAATCCGCGCGTGAAGACGCAGTGCTCGGTGGTGCCCACCAAGCAGACGAAGGAGAACAAGAAGCACTGGAAACGGAATGCGGACCACGCCGCTCCGCCATGCACCACGCTGGCCAACGATTTTTCGGACATCAAGCACACGACGTTGTCGGAGCGCGGAGCGCTGGAGGAGGCTGCCCGGTGCCTGAAGTGCGCGGATGCGCCGTGCCAGAAGTCCTGTCCCACGCAGCTGGACATCAAGAGCTTCATCACGAGCATTGCGAACAAGAACTTCTATGGGGCCGCCAAGGCGATCTTCTCGGACAATCCCCTGGGTCTGACCTGCGGCATGGTCTGCCCGACCAGTGATCTCTGCGTGGGTGGCTGCAATCTGCAGGCCTCGGAGGCGGGTCCCATCAACATCGGCGGGCTGCAGCAGTTCGCCACCGAGGTGTTCAAGAAGATGGGCGTAAGGCAGCGGAGAACGCCCCAGGCGGAGGCCAATCCACTGGCTGGAAAGATCGCCTTGGTGGGCGGCGGTCCGGCCTCGCTGTCCTGTGCCACCTTTCTGGCCCGTCTGGGCTACCGCGACGTGACCATCTACGAGCGAAGGAGCTATCTGGGTGGGCTGAGTGCCGCCGAGATACCGCAGTACCGCCTGCCCATCGATGCGGTCAATTTCGAGATCGATCTGGTCAAGAATCTGGGCGTGCGTATTGAGACGGGTCGCTCGCTGGGCAGTAAGGATCTGACCGTCCAGGGACTGCTCTCCGCTGGCCACGATGCCGTCTTCGTGGGCATTGGCCTGCCCGAGCCCAAGTTGAACCCAATTTTCGCCGGACTGGAGCCCGCGAATGGCTTCTATACGTCCAAGAACTTCCTGCCCCTGGTGTCGGATGGCTCGAAGCCGGGTTTGTGTGCCTGCAAGGCGGCTGCTGGATTGCCCAAGCTCCATGGCAATGTCATCGTTTTGGGAGCCGGAGATACGGCCTTCGATTGTGCCACCTCGGCGCTCAGATGTGGTGCCCGCCGCGTGTTCGTGGTGTTCCGCAAGGGATCCTCCGGCATTCGTGCCGTTCCCGAGGAAGTGGAACTGGCCCGCGACGAGCGGTGCGAACTGTTGCCCTACCTCAGTCCACGCAAGGTGATCGTCAAGGAGGGCCTGATCACGGCCATGGAGTTCTGCCGCACCGAGCAGAACGAGAAGGACGAATGGGTGGAGGATGAGGAGCAGACGCAACGTTTGAAGGCGAACTTTGTGATTTCCGCCTTTGGATCCGGCTTGCAGGACCAAGATGTGCGCGAGGCTCTGGCTCCGCTGCAATTCCGCGGTGAATTGCCAGTGGTCGATCGGGTGACCATGCAGAGCAGCGTGAAGCAGGTGTTCCTGGGTGGAGATCTGGCCGGAGTGGCCAATACCACAGTGGAATCGGTCAACGATGGCAAGGTGGCCGCCTGGAGCATTCACTGCCAACTGCAGGGTCTGCCATTGAACACGCCAGCCGCCCTGCCACTCTTCTACACGGACATCGATGCCGTCGACATCTCCGTAGAGATGTGCGGCATCAAGTTCGAGAATCCCTTTGGCCTGGCCTCGGCCCCGCCCACCACCAGCACGGCCATGATTCGGCGCGCCTTCGAGCAGGGCTGGGGCTATGTGGTCACCAAGACGTTTGGCCTGGACAAGGATCTGGTCACGAATGTCTCGCCACGCATCGTCAGGGGCACCACATCCGGCTACAAGTACGGACCGCAGCAGGGCTGCTTCCTCAACATCGAGCTCATCTCGGAGAAGCGGGCCGAGTACTGGCTGAAATCGATTGGCGAGCTCAAGCGCGACTTCCCCGAGAAGATCGTGATAGCCAGCATTATGTGCAGCTACAACGAGGACGATTGGACGGAGCTGGCCACCAAGGCGGAGCAGTCCGGGGCGGATGCCCTCGAGCTGAATCTCTCGTGTCCGCACGGCATGGGCGAGCGTGGAATGGGCCTGGCCTGTGGCCAGGATCCCCAGCTCGTGGAGCAGATATCGCGCTGGGTGCGACGGGCCGTCAAGCTGCCCTTCTTCATCAAGCTGACGCCCAACATTACGGATATCGTCTCCATTGCCGAGGCGGCCAAGAGGGGCGGTGCCGATGGCGGATCGGCCATCAACACGGTCCAGGGACTGATGGGTCTGAAGGCGGACTCGACCGCCTGGCCGGCGATTGGCAAGGAGCAGCGCACCACCTACGGCGGCGTCTCTGGCAATGCCACTCGGCCCATGGCTTTGAAGGCCATCTCGGATATTGCGAGAAGAGTGCCGGGATTCCCCATTCTCGGCATTGGCGGCATCGATTCCGGCGAGGTGGCCCTGCAGTTCATCCAGGCCGGAGCCACCGTTCTGCAGATCTGCTCGTCCGTCCAGAACCAGGACTTCACCGTCATCGAGGACTACTGCACGGCGCTGAAGGCCCTGCTCTACCTGAAGGCCAATCCGCCGCCAGTGGATGGCCACTTCTGGGACGGCCAGTCGCCGCCAACACCAGTTCACCAGAAGGGCAAGCCGGTGGTCCGGCTGACCGGCGAGGGCAACGCCACGCTGGGATTCTTCGGCCCCTATCAACGCCAAAGGGACATCAAGCTGGCCGACATGCGCCGCCAGCAGGGACCTCTCTGGGATGCGGAGCAGGCGAACAGCACTCCGCCGGCGGCAGATGGAGCCCCCAGGCCAGCGCCCAGGATCAAGGATGTCATCGGCGCGGCGCTGGACAAGATCGGATCGTACAACAAGCTGGACAACAAGCAGCAGAAGGTGGCGCTCATCGACGATGTGAGTTAAACGTTGCAAGTTGCATTGCAATTTTATTGGGACAACTTTCTTATCGTCCATTGCGGGTTTCTAATCATTTTAAATATTTAATTTTTCTATTTCGGAATAGATTTTAATACGTAAAATATTTAAATTAAATTTAAAGCACTTTAAACTTAAATATAATGCAGATAAAATGGACCCAATTCCTATTATTATTATTATTATTAGGATTTCTCTTTTATTCCGAATTTTGTAAGTCTTTAAATATTGAAGGAATTAACTTTAAGAAAACATATTTACTCATTTTCTAAAATATTCATTTGGATTATTTTCAACTGGAATTTTTTAATAATGCGTTGCAATTTTGTATTAATATATTTTGTAGAAAATATTTTTGATAAATTATCGTTTAAAGAATGTACAACTTGTATCTTTTATGAGAAATATTCTCACAATTCTTTTCGGTCATCATCATTAAACATTTGAATTATAATCAATATATATTCTTGCAGGACATGTGCATCAACTGCGGAAAGTGCTACATGACGTGTGCCGATTCCGGTTACCAGGCCATCGAGTTCGACAAGGACACGCACATTCCGCACGTGAACGACGACTGCACGGGCTGCACACTCTGCGTCTCCGTCTGTCCCATCATCGACTGCATCACGTGGGTTTCCAATTGTATCCCTATCCACTCTCCAGTTACTCATTTGCATCCTTTTTATCTGCATTTTTTAGCATGGTGCCGAAGAAGATTCCGCACGTGATCAAGCGGGGAGTTGAGGAGAAGACCTTCTACACCCATGCCCTCAGCCAGTGCCAGTAAGGGCCCCTTCTAGTTCTACGCGTAATTGATATTAACCCAATCTATATAATTCAATTAAATACAATACACATTTCAAAAGCAAACAAAAATGTGTGAAATACGTGGGGTTTGTGAAGTTGTTTATGGTTGGTTAGAAATATAGAAAAAGGTATAAATAATCAATATTGGAGAACGGAAGCTGGAATCTAGTTCCATCTTGTAGTTGACCACGGTGTCCACCCTGTGGAGTCCACTTTTGGGAAGTGCAATTCCAACTATTCCAATTAAACCTTGTTTTGAATCAATTGGTTCTTTAAGAAGCAAATTAACGTTTGAATTGCAAATTCAAATGTACCAGACCGTTCGATAACTTTCTGCCGAACCGGGAAAATATCGACATATTCCGTTTGGGGGCTTTTGGCATCGTTATCGATAGTCCCCTATCGATACTATCAGATTGAATCAGCTGTGCCACCAAAAAAAAGTTTCGTAAAAACTGCGTAGAAAAAGCAGCCGTTTGGATCGAATTGAAATGAAATCTAGTCTGCCGGATCTTATAATTAGCTTGTAGCAAACAACCATACAAAATTCCTCGTAACATTCTAACGGGCATAGGAGACCCAGAGCCCACAGAGTCCAAACAGAGCGGATCTCCTCCAGCCGCCAGCGAAAGTGAGTTACCTTGGGATTCGGATCGGAAATAGCATCGATTGCCAGCGGATTCTACGCATTTGAATAGAAGCCTTGTGATATAATAATGTCGCGCTCTCTGAGTCGCGTACTGATCAATGGGTCGACCTATCGACTTCGCGATCTCCTCAGCGGCCAGCCCACCACTCAGTCCAGATCCACCATCATTATCCCAGTGGCCAACTACTCCAAGCGCAATGGACCGCCCTCGGATGCGGGCGAGTCGTTTAAAACGGTCTCCAAGTCGCGTAACCTCGATGGCGACGATGAGCTCAACAGCCTGGAGAGCGAACCCAATTGGGAGCTGACGTCGGCCAGGAGCCATCGCTTCTACCTGCCCAATGCCACCGGACCCGCCTGGCAGGGCGAAAACACCACCATCGGCCTGCTGACCCCGCTCGACCAGCTGGTCAACTTCCTCAAGGAGGCCAATGCGGACAAGGCGCGCCTGGAGTTCGCCTGCTGCCAGTGCCCCCAGCTCCTCCGCGAGTCGCTCGTGGAGCTCTTCCCCGTGCGCGTCGTTGCGCAGCGGGACACAGCCATCACCATGCTTGTCCTGAGCTACGAGGGCGACATCGAAATGGGCGCCGCCAAGGTGAGCATGCAGTCTGATGATCCAGAGACCCGAGTTAAGCCGGATGCGGGTACCATTTATGTGGCCACTTCATACCCTAGTTGGATGATGTCTGCAGTCTAGTCAGGCATTAGAGATTCGTGGTAATTCAAAGACCCATGTTTAGTAGCATTTATGTGGCCACTTTGAACTGGGAATGGAAGAGGCAGTCGGGAAGCTCATACCCAAATGCATTCACATTATTCGGTCAAGTCTTTGAAGTATCCGCGTAAAGTATTAATCACTTATTGCCCTTGATCGTATGAGCGTATAAATTTAAACCAGTTTTAAAAGCTATGTGACTGACCTTCCCAGTGCAGTTTAGGTGCGATATGACAAATGCCAGTTGGGCTATTATAATTTAGCAATCTAAGTAGGATTTTATGAAGATTCCTACAAGATTACAACAAAGCTAGAAATATGAGTTTTAAAGCACTTTATTTTCAAAGAAAAACTATATATAGTAAAGCATATAATACAGCAAAAACAAGTGTCAAATGGGTTATAACAAAATGCAGTGTATGTATCATGTATATTTTAGAAGATATTTTGACATTTTCGAACTTAAACAATAATTTGCAATATTACAATTACAGTAGATTAGATTTTTTCTATTATTTATGTACAATAGAGTTGGGGAAGATCAATTTAGAAAAGTTATAGTTTAAGAAATACAACTGCGCTCGTCTGGTTTAATTATAAAATTCACTTTGCAAGCATATCAGTATAATTAGGAAACAATATAAGTGTCTAGACCACCGAAACTAATGACAACTCCATTTTCAGTTTGTGCTGGCTGCGCGGGACATGTGCGATCGCCTGCTGTCGCTGGGCTACTGGGCCGACTTCCTCAATCCGTTCAGCGGACGACCCTTCTTCATGCCGAGTCGGGACGGGTCCAGACTGTACAAGCAGGACCACCGCTTCCGTGGGCTGAACATGCGACTGTCACAGCAGAACCACTGCACCGTGATTGCCGCCGAGGAGAACGATCGCACACACTTCTCGGGCACCATCTACTGCACGGCACCGAATCAGTACGACCAGCTGGTGGAGCTGCTGGTGCCGCCACAGTCGCGATCGCCCAATGTGCCCCAATGACATGGATGAGGGCATCCGAGCTGGAATTGCAGACGCAGACGCAGCCGCAGACGATGTAGTTAAAGCCTTTTAGTGATGATGACTGTGTTAACTGTTTAGGTTTTCTGTTCCGACACTGTATATAGCCGCGACAAATGCTTGTGTGTGTGTGTTATATATGCTGCGAAATATAATCGATAAGAATGTTGAGAACGCTGAGTTGAGTCCTAGGCCACGGCCATCTGGTTGCAGTGCCGCTCGATCTCCTTCAGCCGGTTGATCAGCGACTGCAGCTCCTCGGCATTGCAGACGAACTCCACGATGGTCACGCGCTCGCCACTGCTGGGCCGGAAGTTGCCCAGGTTGATGTGGAAGTTGGCCACGCCCGTGCTGCAGTCGGAGGTGGAGGACTTGACGTCGCACACGATGCGCCACTGGATGTCGGTGATGTGTGGAAAGCTGTGGCCCAGCTGCAGCTGTCGGAGCACCAGCTCCTTGCGGCTGTCCTCATACACGCGGCTCAGCTCGTCCACGGCGCCGGCGTCCAGGCCCAGTTGCTCCAGTTGCTGGCGCAGGTGGAGGCCATCCCAGCCGTGCTTGGTGGCCAGGGCATAGAGGGTGACCACGGCATACTCGCTTTGTTTGGCGCAGGCCGCATTGCTGGCATAGATCTCGGGCACGGGGGCAATGGCTATGGGATGGGATAAGGACAAGTGTGAGTTACATCAAGGGAAGCAGCCCATCCTGGCACTCACTGGCATCCGGATGGAGCGTCAGTTTCAGCGAGTTTGCGATGAGCAGCTTGGTCAGTGGGGGCGAGATGATGGCTCCCAGGTTCCTGAGACCAGCCACCACGGTGGCAGAGAGCAGGCCCGTGGTTTCGGTGTTGTCTGCCTCTAAGGCGGGGGACTTTCCCGGCGACGTGGCCATGTCGAGCAGCCTATATCCTGTGCGGATCCTTTGAATTCAAGCCTATATCGATGGGGATTATTAAATTGACCCGGTTGTAAACAAGTAACGCGCCTAACAGCACGCTTATCGCACTTAACAGCACAGTTTAACAGAGTCTGTACCTGTAAAGTACAGTGCACTCCCTCTTCAGTGATCAAATCTAAACTAATTAAAAGTATCCTGAAAAGATAAATATGTCTGTGTTTATGATCATATTTAGAAATTGCTCTGTATACAACTGTGATGATTTGCTATTACTTAAAATGTCTGCGTAAATATTTTTCGTGTCCAAACTTTAAGGTTTTATACATACATACATATCCGTTTGAACCGTTTACAGAGCGGCAACTTAACAGCGGACTGGGCAAACCTAACAGAATTCAACCGGAACCAGTAATAAATATAAAATTGTTGACTATCGCTTTTATTAGTTAAAATTGCATTATATACAAATCTAGGGCTAGCTGTTACACCCTGTAGAAGCACTCCTGTGCCCGGGGCTCACAATTGTCGTACGGTTTGAGCATGGCGTCCGCGTGGGCCACATTGCCGCCGCCGGCATCGATCTCGTCCAGCTCCGAGGCGGGCACACAGGCGCACTGGAAGTTCTTGTTGCCGCGGCTGTAGAGCTTGCGTGGATGCCCGATCCAGGAGCGCTCCTTGCCGTCGCCGCTGGTGTTGGTGCACCAGACGCGGGTGCCCTGGGATTCGCTCCACTCGATGTTGCAGCCGGGATAGCGGGCGCGCAGCTCGTCCGCCTGCCGCTTGGCGTCCTGCGCCTGTTGCAGCAGCTCCAGGAACTTGTGGTGGTAGGTGGTCCGTTGACCCCGGTCATCGTAAAAGCGTCCGATCAGCCGGCCCTTGTAGATGTAGTCCTTCTCGTAGAAGTCCCGCCAGCCGACCAGGCCGAGCAGATCTTCTGGCTTTAGGGTGAGCACATCGTCGGCCGTTTCCGGATCGTAGCTATCGAAGTCGCCGGAAATGAAGGACACCGAGGCATCGCGTCCCACGAAGAAGTTGTAGCTGCAGCCGGATCCGTAGTGCTTGATGCCGCGGCTCACATCGAATACGGATCCGAGGAGGGCCAGGTAGAGCGGACGACCCTCCTGCTCGCCATTGAATTGCGCCAGTTCAGCCGGCGTGAAGAGCGTGCCGACTTCGTCATCGGCTTGGAAGGCCACCGGAATGCCACCTTGGTTCAGGTAGTCGTCCGTGTGCCGTCGCAGAAACTGCCGGATCTCTGTGTGGTAAAATCCGGCCAAAACGGCCGCCACAACGAAGAGAAACTGCAATTTGAACAGGTGTCGCAGCAGTCCGAACATCTTGCAATTTTCCTAGGCCGAACCAGGAACTAGTTCCACTTAGCCAGCAGGCCAGGCAGTGTGACCATGCCACTCAAAATGGCCGGGGAACCGGTTTTAAGTTTAAATTTAAAAGTTTATAGTCAATACGTTGAAATCATTGGAATATGCAGGCCTTTAAGACTGACTTTCACATCAAATAATTGTAATGCTTAAAATTTAAATAAAACATAAGTGTTAAAATTAAAAGAATGATGTCTTAATTTAACATAGCCATATAAAGTCCCTTGTATGCAATACTTTTAGAAATTCTCATATAGAAAATAAAGGAATCTACTTTTCCAACTTCTGTCTAGCAATGGACCTTTTCCAATAATATAATACTTGTATAACAGTTAACTTATTTAAATATATATCATTTAAAAAGTTAAAAAAAGGCTAGAACAAACAAATTCGAATATAAACTTCTAAAACAATAAAAAGAGATTAAATTTTCATAGAATATCCATAATCTTTATTTGCACAACAGAGGTTACCTAGCGACGGCGGGAGACGCAGGCGTCGATGTGGTTGCTGATCTCCTGGAGACCCTGGACCGCCTGCGAGGATGCAGAGTGGGTGCACACGTTGCCGTCGGCGAAGACGGCCGGAATGCGCTCGCTGGTGGACTTGCGGATGGTCTTGATGGAGGAGCGGGCACTGACCAGATAGACGGTGGTCTGCATGTAGAACTTGGCCATGCAGCTCTGCTTCAGGACGGAGTTCTTGTACGAGTTGCACTTGTTGTAGGTGCGTCCCAGGCTGTAGCCCCCGAAGACCAGCTGCTGGGTGGCCGCGTTCACATCGGAGGCGATCTCGGCGGATGTGTGGGCGGCGACCACACCGCAAGAGTGCAGATCCTCATGGGCGGCGTCCACGATGCGGGCGATCTCCTCATCCTCGGCGGCCACGCACTCGGGACTCTCCTGGCGACGTGACTCCACCTGGTCGAGGGCATCCTCCAGCTCGTGCTGCGGCTCCAGGACGATCTCCTCGTACTGATGGACCAAAGCCTCACCGGTGGACTTGCCAATGTCCGCCATCTCGTCCACCACACTGCGCACCTGGGCGTCCAGCTGGGCGGGAATACCCAGATCCAGGGGCTGCGTCCAACCACTGGCCACGAAAAGGGTCAGAATAATGACGACGGCGAACTTCATGATTGCTTCTACTGCTGATAACTGACTGCTACTGCTACTGAGGATTTGCACAAAATCGTATTTATAGCCGGGAATCCAGAAACCTATTATGGTATTATAGCAGACGGATTGTTTATCTGGATTGCTGGCCATAAATTTATGGCCGCCATTGTAAATCATTCACGTCTTAGTTTTATTAGTGAACTTTACATTCAGCTGCTATTCATAGAGTTCACCTTTTTGGATTTAGATTAAAATTGGTCAAGTCGCACGATCACACAAAAGAATATCATAAACATCATAACAAAGCGTCATACGGGAAAGAATGACTTCCAATATTGACACAAAGGCAATGAAATAAAAATACATTTAATATTGTAATTTAGTTTTTAACTTGAAGCGGAAAAATGTCTTATGTTCTGGAAATTTTGTTAAATCTTGTTTTGTATCAACAGATGTTTCTTAAACATTTATATACACTTCCCGTTTAGTTTAATAAAAATGTTGTATTCATTTTGCAATAGTTTTAATGAATTTGACTGCTAAAAAAATATATATAAACACAATCTGATCACAGGTGAAATAATATTTATATTTTAAAAAAATATGCACTACTATATTTTTTAAGTTTGTAGCGCAATCATGTTCCAAGTATATTTATGAGTTACAAACAATAGAATCACGTAAAAAACTTTTAGCAAACATTGTTTACTATTGTTGATTTAAAGGCTTTTAAAAGTCAACCAATTGTAATAATATTTTCTTCCCAAAATTTTGGGAATACCTAAAATAGGGTCATTCCCCGAATAACAATCACTTTATTAGGAATTCTCAACAAAAATAGTCAATCACATAAGCGCGTGTGAGTCTAATGTCTCAAGTGATCCCATAGATTGAATTGCCACTGTTTTCCCTGACTCCGCAATGGATTTTAATCGGGGGCATACGCGAAGCCATAAATTATATGACATTATCTTCTATAATTAAGGCATTATTTAGATCCGCCGATTAGGGCGATTTTGAAGTGGCGCATCCAGTAATACAAGTAGATGTTTCCTATCGCTCCACCTCCACGCACAGGAAAATATAATTTGCGACCTTATCAAAGACTCCCTCTCGTTTGCTTCTCATTTCTGCCTTTCTCTCTGGCCGATTGGAGAAAAGAAGGCAGACGGAAATTATTGCGATTAAAGTAAGACAAAGACACATAAGCCAAATAATGGGAAATAAACCAATTGGCCGATAAAACGACTCTTGAATACTTTAATTAACTGGGGTTACCGATATGGCTATTTGGGTTTTTTTTTGGCTTTGGGGTTGCGGCATGTGGGGCTTCCAATTCATATAAAAGGTTGATCCTCAGCGAGATTCCAGCAAAACCCAATCAACCATGAGGAGTATTATTCTAGTGTTGGCCTTTGCCCTGGCAGCTGTGAGTAAAATATAAGCTGGAATCTATTATTAACATTTGGAGTGATAAGAATAAACAAAAAAATAAATACAAAAAACCAATTAAGATAATTAATTATGATTTAATTACTTTTCTTTACCATTAAAAGATGACTATCATAACAAAAAAAAAAAAAATTAAAAAAAAGAGTAACCGGGCGTATGCGTGATATCCGTTGAAACCTCATTTTAGTTTTATTATCATTCCTTGTTATAGATTTTTTGTTCTAAGCTAACAATATATTTTATTTATAATGCTATCTATAACTATCGAATTTTGATTTAGTGCGAAAAACAATATATTGGCATTATTTAAATACAAATTGTTGGCCAACAGTGCGTATGATTAATGTGATTTAAGATATACTACTATTGGTTAAACTTTTACTAAATTAGGACAATTATGAATCCAAATTTATAAGATATGGTAATAAGCATTTTCTGAATTTTTAAGCACCTTCATTTATTTTAACTCAAGTTAGAAAAGAAAAAGTTATAAGTAGATCATTATATATTATATATTATACTATATTACTAATGTTCAATATTACACATGCGTAGATTTTAATTGTGTTTATTTGTTCCCTCCTGAAAACAGGTTTCAGCTGTGCCCCTGCAGGAGGGTCAAGATGCATCTCTGCAGGAATTGACCAAAGAATTTGGTCTGGACTTCGACCTGAACTTCGATCTGGACCTGGGATTCAATGTGGACCAGGAACTGACTGAGGACGGCACTGTGGAGATTGATGAGTTCGCCTTTGTGGACCGAATGGTGCATTTCCTCATCGCCGAGTCGAAGGTCCTGGCCTGGGACATTGTCCGGCTGACGGAGCGGCAGCTGCTCAAGATCTTCCTGTACCCGATGAGACAGTTGGAGCAGCTGGCCCAGGACATCGAGCGGAAGGCCCTGGACGCCGGCAATTGCGCAGTCAATGTGACGACCAATGTGGCCGAAGTGGTGGCCTCGTCCACACTGGATTTCCTGGGCTGCGGACGCGATGCCGCCCTCACCTCCATCAATCTATGCCTGGACACCAAGAAGTCGGTTCTGCAGCTGACCCTCGATGGCTACCAGATCATCAAGTTGCAGAGGAAATGCAAGTCCCATCCAGAGGGTGGATTTCTGCGAAAGACCTGCAAAACAAGGTTGTTCGCCAAGTGTATGCTATATATCGGCAATGGCCAGGCGTCGTTGCGCCACTTGATCGGACTGCGTAAAAGCGTTCCTGCCGTGGCCACCGATGCCACCTCCTGCACCACCACGGCCACCGCCAACGCCGTGTGGGGATTCGACGAGATCAGCGCCACCATCGACACCTGTGTCGATACCATGTTCAAGTGAAAACAATTTGTGAATAAATCTAACAACGCAGCCTGAACTAAAATAACAACTGGGGGTACTTTCAATAATAATTGTTGAATTATCCATGAATTCGCCATTACATTTCCAATTTAATGGCAGATAAACATATGTTATCTAATTTAATTTCATTTAAAAATCACGATGTAAAAATCCCTTATTAAGAATTTAAAAATTGGTCATACAATTTATTTTTTAAACTCGACCGATATATCCTAACTAATATATGCTATCCATAGTAATGAAATTGGTCGCCAGCTGCAAATACAGTCTTATATATTGTTGTGGGTCTTGTTTTGACCAAGTCACAAAAGAATAAACTCTGAAGATATCTGTTTTTGATTTAAATCTCAGGAAACCGAACAAAAAACTTTCATAAATTGATTTGTATTTTAAAATCCTGGGAAATAATGGTCAAAAGTTGAAATGTCATACACCGTTGAATTCGTAATAAAATTTCCAATCAAATGGCATTCACAGTTAAAATTTTTTCAGATTTTCGAATTTCGGCAAAAAATGATGATGTACCCCCTTACAAAAAAGTCCAAAATTTGGACAAAAATAAATTTGTCAAAAAACGTTTTTCAAAATTCGGTTTTTGCGTCAAGACAAAATAAATTATTTTCAATCGATCAGGTATGGATGGTATGGGTTGCCAGCTGTTCAAAATAGCAACTCTTTTGACTTTGGGTCTTATTTTGGTAAAGTTACAGCAAAAAGACTCTTCAGAACAAATTTTGTTTGAAAAATCGCCAAAAATCCCAAAAAACACATTAAAAACTTGGTTTTTGTGTCAAAACCCTGGGAAATAACGGTCTAATGTTGGAATGTCATACACCGTTGAATTCGTAATAAAATTTCCAATCAAATGGCATTCACAGTTAAAATTTTTTCAGATTTTCGAATTTCGGCAAAAAATGATGAAAAAAAAGTCAAAAATTTAGACAAAAATAAATTTGTCAAAAAACGTTTTTCAAAATTCGGTTTTTGCGTCAAGACAAAATAAATTGTTTTCAACCGAACAGGGATGGATGGTATAGGTTGCCAGCTGTTCAAAATAGCAACTCTTTTGACTATGGGTCTTATTTTGGCAAAGTTACAGCCAATAGACTCTTCAGAAATAATTTTGTTTGAAAAATCGCCAAAAACCCCAAAATACACATTTAAAACTTGGTTTTTGTGTCAAAACCCTGGGAAATAATGGTCTAAAGTTGGAATGTCATACACCGTTGAATTCGTCATAAAATTTCCAATCGAATGGCATTCACAGTTCAAAATGTTGAAAATCAACCAATTTCCGCAAAAAATGATGATGTACCCCCTTACAAAAAAGTCAGAAAATTGGACAAAAAATAAATTCTTCAAAAATCGTTTTTCAAAATTCGGTTTCTGTTCCAAACAAATATTTATTTATTTTAATCGATCGGGGATGGATAATATATGTGGCCAGCTGTTCAAAACAGAAACTCTTTTGGCTATGAGTCTTATTTTGGCAAAGTTACAACAAAAAGACTCTCAGGAAATAATTCTGTTTGAAATGTCTCCAAAAACCCAAAATACACATTTAAAACTTGGTTTTTGTGTCAAAACCCTGGGAAATAATGGTCTAAAGTTGGAATGTCATACACCGTTGAATTCGTCATAAAATTTCCAATCGAATGGCATTCACAGTTCAAAATGTTGAAAATCAACCAATTTCCGCAAAAAATGATGATGTACCCCCTTACAAAAAAGTCAGAAAATTGGACAAAAAATAAATTCTTCAAAAATCGTTTTTCAAAATTCGGTTTCTGTTCCAAACAAATATTTATTTATTTTAATCGATCGGGGATGGATAATATATGTGGCCAGCTGTTCAAAACAGAAACTCTTTTGGCTATGAGTCTTATTTTGACAAAGTTACAACAAAAAGACTGTTCAGAAATAATTTTTTTTGAAATGTCTCCAAAAACCCAAAATACACATTAAAAACTTGGTTTTTCTGTCAAAACCCTGGGAAATAATGGTCTAAAGTTGGAATGTCATACACCGTCGAATTCGTAATAAAATTTCCAATCGAATGGCATTCACAGATAAAATTTTTTCAGATTTTCAAATTTCTGCAAAAAATGATGATGTACCCCCTTACAAAAAAGTCAGAAAATTGGACATATCTTAATTTTTTAAAAACGCGCTTTTCAAAATTCGGTTTTTTCGTCAAAACTAAATTAATTGTTTTCAATCGATCAGGGATGGATTGTATGGGTTGCCAGCTGTT